CCTGCCTCAGCCTCCCAAGTAGCTGGGACTACAGGCGCCCGCCACAACGCCTGGCCATTTTTTGGTTGCAGCCATCATTGTTGTTTGGCGGGCCCCGGCTGGGGATATGAACCCGCCACCTTAGGTGTATGTGGCTGGCGCCTTAGCCGCTTGAGCCACAGGCGCCGAGCCCCTTTGAACATTCTCAAACAAAACAGAATGGTTTAAGAATGCCTTCTTCCCTGCACTTTTTTTTTTTTTTTTGGTGAGATATAGTCTCACTTTGTCCTCGGTAGAATGTCATGGCATAGCTCACAGCAACGTCAAACTCTTGGGCAATTCTGTTGCCTCTGCCTCCTAAGTGGCTCGGATTATAGGTACTGGCCACAACTCCCAGCTGTTTTTTAAAGGCGGGGTCTTGCTCCTGTTCAGGCTAGTCTCCAACTCCTTAACTCAGGCAATCTACCTGCCTTGGCCTCCCAGAGTGGTAGGATTACAGGCTCGAGCCACCTTGCCTGGCCTTTGCCTGTACTTTCAAGAACAGTTAGTAACATGTTAATGTATTTGTTTTTGAGTCTAGGTATTTTTTTTTAATTCCAGGTTAATATGAGGATACAACCAGCTCACAGTATTTGAATTTGTTAGGTAGAGTCCTTCTTGTAGATGTGTCCCCCACCCAAATGTGTGCCATGCAACCTCTACACTGTGCCCATTAAGTGGGAGCACACCAACCCCTCCTCCTGCCTCTCCTTCATTTCTCTCCCTCCAACTTGAATTGAGTTTTTCTCCTATGTGAGTGTGAATTAGATCATCTCCTGGCTTCATAGTAGTATTTAGTCCATTGGATATTTGCTTTTCCATTCCTGTGATACTTCACTAAGAACGTGTTTAACTCCATTCAGGTTAATACAAAAGATAAAAAGTCACCATGTTTTTTTATGACTAAAAATTTTCCATGGTAGGGTGGTGCCTGTGGCTCAGTGGGTAGGGCACAGGCCCCATATACCAAGGGTGGACAGTTGGAACCCAGCCCTGGCCAAACTGCAACAAAAAATAGCCAAGTGTTGTGGTTAGTGCCTGTAGTCCCAGCTACTTGGGAGGCTGAGGCAAGAGAATCACCTAAGCCTAGGAGTTGGAGGTTGCTGTGAGCTGTGTGACACCACGGCACTCTACCGAGGCTGATAGAGTAAGACTGTCTCCTAAAAAAAAAAAAATTTTTTTCCATGGTATACATATACCACAATTTGTTGTTGTTGTTGTTGTTGTTGTTTTTGAGAGAACCTCAAGTTATCCCCCTGGGTAGAGAGCTGTGGCATCACAGCTCACAGCAACCTCCTACTCCTGGGCTCAAGCGAGTCTCCTGCCTCAGCCTCCCAAGTAGCTGGGACCACAGGTGCCCGCCACAGCGCCAGGCTATTTTTTGGTTGCGGCCATCATTGTTTTGGCAGGCCTGAGCTGGATTCGAACCCGCCACCTTAGGTGTATGTGGCTGGCGCCTTAGCCACTTGAGCCACAGTTGCCAAGCCACCACAATTTGTTAATCCATTCCTGAGTTAATGGGCATTTAGGTTGTTTCTACACCTTGGCAATTGTAAATTGAGCTGGGATAAACATGTCTTTAAACATTTTAAAGTAAATCATAAGCACAGTGTCTCACCCCACACTTCAGCTATGTGTCTTTTTAACCCATTGCAGTTAAAACATGGGATGATTTAGGGTGGCGCCTGTGGCTCAGTGAGTAGGGTGCCGGCCCCATGTACCCATGACAGGTTTGAACGTGGCCCCGGCCAAACTGCAAAAAAAAAATAGCCAGATGTTGTGATGGGCGCCTGTAGTCCCAGCTATTCAGGAGGCTGAGGCAAGAGAATCACCTAAGCCCAAGAGCTGGAGATTGCTATGAGTTGTGACGCCTCAGCCCTCTACCGAGGGTGACAAAGTAAGACTCTATGTCTCAAAAAAAAAAAAAAAAATGATTTAATAGTCACTCAGTCTTTGATCACCACCTGTCTTGAAATGGCTTTTCATCTTAAGAACTTGGGGCTCAGCGCCTGTGGCTCAAGTGGCTAAGGCACCAGCCACATACACCCAAGGTGGCAGGTTCAAATCCAGCCCGGGCCCGCCAAACAACAATGATGGCTGCAACTAAAAAAATAGCCAGGCGTTGTGGCGGGCACCTGTGGTCCCAGCTACTTGGGAGGCAGAGGCAGGAGATTCACTTGAACCCAGGAGTTGGAGGTTGCTGTGAGCTGTGATGCCACGGGACTCTACCTGGGGGGACAGCTTGAGGCTCTGTCTCAAAAAAAAAAAGAACTTGGCATATCATGTTGCAGAATGCCTACCTTCAGGTTTTATGATATTTTTTCTTTGTGGCTTCTCCTGCATTGTTCTCCTTATATCCTATGGAATGAAAATGCTAGATTACGTTTAGGGTAAAAGCAGATTTTGCACCAGTGAATTTGGTTTTTAGTGATACTCCCCACCCCGCTGCCATCACAAACATCAAGCAGAAGCAAAGCTCTAGGCTTTGCCCAGGGAGACCAGGAGCCACTCCCAAGGACAGTAAGGCATGGAGAGGACTGAGAAGTTCTTCTGTGGTCACCCAAGATAATAATCAGACTTTACTTTTTTTTTTTTTTTTTTAAGAGACAGAGTCTCACTTTGTTGTCCTTGGTAGAGTGCTGTTGTGTCACAGCTCACAGCAACCTCCAGCTCTTGGGCTTAAGGCGATTCTCTTGCCTCAGCCTCCTGAGTAGCTGGGACTACAGGTGCCCACCACAATGCCTGGTTATTTTTTTTGTTGCAGTTTAGCTGGGGCTGAGTTTGAACCCGCCACTCTCCATGTATCGGGCCAGTGCCCTACTCACTGAGCCACAGGCGCTGCCCATGAATCTTTATTTTTTTTTTGAGTGGGTGGATAGAGTGCTATAGCATCATAGCTCATAGCAACCTCAAACTCTTGGGCTCAAGAGATTCTCTTGCCTCAGCCTCCTGAGTAGCTGAGACTACAAGTGAGAGTCACTACCCTTGGCTGGTTTTTCTAGTTTTGGTAGAGACTGCTGGGGGGTTGGTGTCTCAGTTTTGCTCAGGCTGATTTAGAACTGAGCTGAAGGGATCCTCCTGCCTGGGCATCCCTAAGTGCTGGGATTACAGGTGTGAGCTACCACACCCAGCCTTATTTGAATCTTTTTATTCTAGGCTTAATTACATCTGCCCTGGCTGAAAAGAAATTTTATCACTCAAGAGTTTATCCACCTTGATATAATCAGACGATGTACTCTTAGGGACTCTTTGACCTGATTCTACCTGATCAGGTTTTACTTACTAGCTGAAGAGATTAATAACTATATTGGTGAGGTTTGCTTTGGTTAATACCCTTTAAATTGCTTTTAAGAGGCTTAGTGCCTGTAGCTTAGCAGCTAGGGTGCCAGCCACATACATGGGAGTTGGCTGGTTCAAACCCAGCCCAGGCCTGCCAAACAACAATGACAACTACAACCAAAGAATAGCTGGGCCTGTGGTGGGTGCCTGTAGTCTGCCTGGAAGGCTGAGGCAAGAGAATCGCTTAAGCCCAAGGGTTTGAGGTTGCCGTGAGCTGTGACGCCATAACATTCTACTGACGGGCAACATAGTGAGACTCTGTCTCCAAATAATTAAAAATAAATAAATAAACAATTTGCTTTTAAGAGTTTAATAATGGGCTTGGTGCCTGTGGCTCAAGTGGCTAAGGCACCAGCCACATGGACCTAAGGTGGCCGGTTCGAATCTAGCCCGGGCCTGCCAAACAACAATGGCTGCAACCAAAAAATAGCCAGGCGTTGTGGCGGGCGCCTGTGGTCCCAGCTACTTGGGAGGCGGAGGCAGGAGACTCGCTTGAGCCCAGGAGTTGGAGGTTGCTGTGAGCTGTAATGCCACGGCACTCTACCCAGGGGGACAGCTTGAGGCTCTGTCTCAAAAGAAAAAAAAAAAAGAGTTCAATAATGACTTGGTATAAGACCCCCCACCTGGATAACAGAGATATTCAGCATCTCCACATGTATTATGTACTCAGGTGTTGTGGACATGGGGCCTGTTGGCTGTAGAAAGTCAGGAACTTAGTGTAATTCGTGGGTCTGCTGCTGCTTCCAGTGACTCCACTATAGTGTGTAAAGTGTTTGATAAATCCAATGTGCCAGATTTTTCTTTTGAAAATTGAACCTCTGTGAAAAATCCAGAGTGACTAAGCGCTACAAAGACTGGGAACCTGAGTACAAGAAACAATAAATCTGTTCCATATCCTGGAGGGTTTTGGAAGTAATGCAATCTTGTTGTGAGGTGTTTTAATTAAAAAAACATCAAGATACTAGTAAGTGCTTGTGTTTGAGTCATCCTCGGTGTATATTCATGCACTCATCAGATGACCCAAGGCAGGCAGCTTGAGGAGGGGTCACTAAAGTGAAGCAGCACCATCATCCATGCCAGCCCCCACAAGTAGGGCTGCCCAGGTGCTTCTTATGGAGGGCAGCAGGGTTCAACTCTAATTTGAAAGCAGTGATTTTATGTAGAGTCCTGCTGAGGTTGGAAAGGCCGTGGCAGGGAGGGCTTTTAGGTAGGAGCAGGCATGACATGGAGGTAGCATGTCATGGACAAGGGTAGAGGCAGTCAACTTTATTTAGCTCCTTGACTCCAGGAGGACTCCAGTGTGAGGCTAGGGCCAGAGGGAGTTGCTGTGCTCTGCTGGCTATGCAGTTCTTAGAAGTCATGGACACTCGTTCCTCAATCATGGGTGATAATGGAGTGTCCCTCTCCATGGAGGAAGCATTCCTAGGCACAGGGGCTGGTACTTGCAGCCCATACTCTGGCCAGAGATGGAATAGTCTACAGACAGGAAAGAGGTGGAAAGTAGTGCCTTGCCAATGACAGGGCCCTTCAGAGCTGGCCCATAAACACCAGTGTCCCCACGGCTCTTGGAGTATATTGGATTCTGTCCCCAGGGCCCTCTTCCTCCTATTCTTGATCAAGAGACTAGTTCACTACCCAGATGGGCATCTCCTTGGTGCCTTGACTATAGCACCACAGATCAAGGTGGGCCCAGGGTCAGAAATTGCAGGGGCACCTGGCAGGCCAGGCCAGAACTGCTTCTCCCTGATACTGCCTCAGAGGCCATCCCTGGGCCCCAACTGGGTGTCATTTACCTGCTGAGGGGTAATGTGTAGTAGTGACCCTGGGTAAGGCCTTGTTTCTGGTGTGGGGCAGGCCTGTTGGAGATCTGAGTGGGTAATAGTCAAGGTTTCTATCTTCTCTGAAACAAAAGAGGGTCTGGCACCTCACCTGTCCTGGGGTCCCTGAACCTCTGTCCCTGCTTGGCTTGTCGCATGCTTCATGTTCCCAGCCTGGCCTTGATTGGGTGGCCCTCAGCTGTCCCCTCCTGTCCCCTGCAGGTAAGGTGCCTGGCGACGACTGCCCACTGGTGTGGGGCCAGTGCTCGCACTGTTTCCACATGCACTGCATCCTCAAGTGGCTGCATGCACAGCAGGCCCAGCAACACTGCCCCATGTGCCGCCAGGAGTGGAAGTTCAAGGAATGAGGGCTCCTGCCCCCCACGCTGCACCTGGGCTTGGGCCCTCACCCCAGATGAGACCCTGTTGTTCTGATGGGATGGGTAGCTTTGGTCTCTGCGGGGATGGGCCCCTGTGGGAACTATGACGGGTTGGAAGAAGGATAGAGCTGCCTCTGTTTTTCCATCACAATGTTGATGCTTTTATCTAATATAAGTAAAACTGATTACATTACTGGAAATTGCTGGAGGCCTCCAGTCTCCTGTTTTCTTGGCATATCAACGAGCCCTGTGGTTGTTTTTATATGAGAACTCATGAATAAACATATTGATGCCTCAAACCCTGAGTCACAACTCCGGAAGGATCAGACGGCCATACCTGGGGCAGGGCTTGTCTAGGCAAAGGCCCTGGGGGTGTTTGTGCCTCTCATCTGATGGAAGCTAGGCTGGGGCGAGCTCCTCAAGCCTCAATCCTCCTTCAGGCCAGTTCTGTGGAACTCTGGCTGGGCACTTGCTGCTCCTGGTCCTTCCCAGTGAAAAATAGTCATTTCTGAGCAGGCTTTGGTTGTGTTGACGATATAGGGTCCCCAGGGCCATCTGAAGTTCTCTGTCCAGCATCCCTTGCTTAGACTGAAGGCTGATGGTAGTCAGGGCTGGGCACAGGGACTAATCTATGCCCTTGACATCAAGATGTGTTCCAGGTGTCTAAGGGAAGGACAGTTCTCAGGAGGTTCCTCTGTTCCCCACAATTCCTATAGGGTGGCAGCCATGGGGGGCACAGCAGCCCCAGCTCTGAGTCTCTGGCAGCTTCTGAAGGCAGTGTCCCCAGTATTCCTAGGGGTCCTTGGTACTTACATGGTGTCAGTGTCCCATGCCACTGCAGCAACTCATTGCCTGGTCCTCAACAACACCCTGGGGAATAGACCAGGCATCACCTGGGAAGACGTCTCTCTCAGGCACCTATGTTGACTATGAGCTTCATTAGCTTTCCCAAAGCAGAGGGGTCCCTCACCATGCCTGAAGGTCACCTTCCCCTTTGCCTGGAAACACAGGTGCCAGAGGAGGCAGCATCTAAAGCAGTGGTTCTCAACCTTCCTAATGCGCGGCCCTTTAATACAATTCCTGTGGGCCACAACCCACAGGTTGAGAACCCCTGATATAAAGGAAGGTGCACTGTGACCAGGATGTTAGGGAGCATAATGGCCAGTGTCACCTCTTGTTAGCTCTGGCCAGTGCTAGGTAGATGATGCAGCCTCTTTTCTACCTATAGCACCTCTGGATCTGGGCATTGGCACCAGCCTGGGGAGCCACAGCTCAGTAGGGAAGCAGTGTGAAGGGGAGGTGGCATGTGACCAGGTCCTGTTGCAGAGGGCATAGGGACAGGATGAAATCTGGATTTGGAGCTGCCCAGAGTTCCTGTGACTGGTGTCCCAAGGCCTGTGGTCTGGGCCTTGGGTTCATCCTGGCCTGTTCCTGCTGCCTTCACTCCCTGGATGTCCTGCTTGCTCCTGAGGAAACTTTCATAGGGAGTTCACTTCATCCTCTCTCCAGAGCCTCTCCTTGCCTGACAAGTACCCATAAGGACTGTGTACTTGGGATGCCAGGCTCACCTCTCAACCCTGGTTTGTCCACACAGCTTCCCAGCTACTTGGATTCTTTGGTTCCAGCAGGGTCATCTGTTCTTTGGATGTGTGATTGCCCAAAGGCCATGTGCACCCAGCATCCCCCAGCCCTCCCCATGGTTCTGCTGCCTTGTGCTGCTTAGGGTCCCTGAAAGCTTCAGCCCGTGGCTCTCCCTCAACTGCCCTCTCCAGGTGGGCACTGAAGCTGTAACAGGGCAAAGAGTTCCAACTCATCTGACCTTCTATTGGGCAGTATCTCCTTCCCTTTGTGACCAGTGTTTGAACCAATGTTCATGGAATGAATGGAGAGGCTTGAGCTCACCTTCTTCCAGGGCAGAGTTGGGCAGGGGTCTCCAACTATGGTCTCTTGGTCTAGTTTGCCTGGGGTTGAGGCCTGGCCTTGCAGCCTTCTTCCTCTGAGAAGACTTGTCAGTGGACATTCCCCTGGGCATAGCCACCTGTGGACTTCCATGCTTCAGGTGCATGGACGCTGGGGTTGGTTCCCCTTTAGGGTGGGAGAAGTTGCTCCCTGGGCTTGTGCAGTCAGTCAGTGACTCTCTCCAACCTCAGGACCACTGGGGACTCCTGGTGGAGGGGTGGGTGGCTCCTAGGGCTGGTGCACTGTTGGTTGGCCTGGGCTCCTATCCACTGCCCTGGAACTCATTCAGCCCCCGCCTGGGCCCGAAGCAACCGCTGGCGAGAAGGGCGCCGCGCTCTCATGAGAGCCCAGCCCTGGCCAGCTCAGCTTCCCTGCAGCGGCGGGATAAGGACCCACGCAGCTTCTTACCTGGGATGGGTAGGCTGGACCCTGTTCTCTTTCTGCTTCACCAGCCTGTCCACCACGTGCACCTCCACCCCCGCTCCCCGCAGCGCCCCGCCCCGCCCGTCAGATATAAGGCGCAGCCGCTCCAAGTCCTGACGCCCCATACCCTGTCCCCATGGCCCAGCATACGATGCTGGCAGCTGCCGCCCTGGCGCTGTGCCTGTTGCTGGTGCCGCCCAGTTGCGCATGGTACAAGCAGGCGGCCGGGCCCAGCTACTACTCGGTGGGCCGCGCTGCGGGGCTGCTGTCCAGCTTCCGCAGGTCCCAGTATGCGCGGCGTTCGGAGTCCCCCATCGGACAGGGATCCCCGGAGCTACGCCCCGGCTTGCGGAACTTCGTGAGTGTGGTGCGAACGCCAGGGTCTCGGGTGGACCAGAGGGTGAAGGGGGAGCGTGGGCAGCCCCTGAACTTCCTCCCGCACCCCAGGCCATGTGTGTGAAGGACGTCACCCCAAACCTACGGAGCTGTATGCTACTCCCGGACGGCCGCGGTACCTTCCAGTGCCAGGCAGATGTCTTTTTGTCGCTACGCACAGCGACTGCTTCAAGGCCTGAACCTGGACCCGACACCCATGTATCACCTGGCACCCACCCCTGACGCCACTGTCCTGCTTTCCTTGGGGCACAAAATGGGCCCCAATACTCTGTTAGACCATCCCACCTTCAGGAAATGAATAAAGTAGTAAAGCCAGTCCGAGTGAGATTGCTGGGAGGGCTGGCAGGGGACAAGGGACCAACCAGGGTGCACCAGACCACCAGACCCAGGAGGGCACAACCCTGGGCCCAAATGGGGAGACCGCCTTCCCACCCCTGCCTGGGTGGGGCTCTGCCAACCCCTTCACCACTCAGGGCAGTGAGCAGGCAGGTTCCTGGGGGCTCTCAGGTCTCAAAGCCATATTCTTGGGAGCTGCCTTTAGAGCCCAGACTGGAGCTTTCAGCTTTCTCTCCTTTGCCCCCAACCCTCTGGTCGGGCTGAGTATAAGGGTACCGGGCGGGGAGGCAGACTTTGAAGCCAGGAGCCTGTCTGCAGGTGGGTTCTCAACCACCTGGGTAGACAAGTTCCTGAGGCAATGAGCTGGGTCCTGGGCCTCCACCTGCTGTTGAGGGCAGCCTCCAGCCCCATCTCCTGGGCCCAGGCACCAGCACACCCAGGGCCACCTCTGCCTTCCCCCTGTGGTCAGGCACCCCCTATGCCCTCACAGAAGTCTATAGGGGAACTGCCAGCCCAGAAGTCTGAGGGTGGGAGTGTTGGCACTATCCTACTCCTAAAGGTGGGGCCCAGCAGGGGTAGGACTGGGAGAGCAGGCCCTGCACTAGATCGTTGAGGCTGACCTCAAGGTAGCCAAAATGAAAGGTAAGAAAACGACAGGCCCCACAAGAATCAGCAGCTTTAAGGTAGAAACCTTTCTGAAGGGAAGGGGGGTGGGCTGCAAAAAATCACGGTCAGAGTTCTCATTGTGAATGTACTAAGACCAATCCACTGCCTTGCCAAACACCAAGAAGCTGCCATGGGGAGCCCCTGAGGCTCAACGAAGCTCCAAGGGGGCCCTGACTTGAGATGTCAAAAGATGGGAGATTCTATAACCCCATGGGGGCACTGCAGGGCTGAGCCCCTCATCTGCCACCTGGGCTCCTGGGCTGCATCCCCTCCCTCTTCTAATGTGCTCTGCTACTGGGGGTGGAGGGACGAGGCAGCGCAGGGGTAGGGTCTGGGGGCTCACAGGCCACCAGGCTGCCCACTGCCCTCCTCCCTGCATGGCAGGGGCAGGGCTGCAGGATTCCCACAGCTGGGCAGGGGGGTCTCCTGGTCCTTCCCAGCACGGCCTGTCAGGCTTTATTTTTTGTACTGGAGCAGCAGTTCTCAACCTGTGGGTTGTTACCCACAAGAACTGTATTAAAGGGCTGCGGCATTAGGAAGGTTGAGAACCATTGTACTGGAGAGATATACATCAACTGTTAAGTACACAACAGAGTGGTCTGTGTGGAGAGCAGCAAAGCTGGCCAGGGAGGGGGGAGTTCTCCATAGTGGGTGGGACAAGCTACAGGGCAGAGGATACCCCCTTGGGAGGTGATAATGTGCTGTACCCCAAGAAAAGGGGGACCCCCAGATCACTGCTCCCTGAAACCCTCTCCATTGGACTTCCCACCAAAGCTGGGTGGGCTGGCAGTATGGCCTCCTGCCCTGGCAGAAGGGTGTATGTAGCCTGAGGGAGATTCCTGGGGCTGGGCAGGGGAGGGGCAGTTAAAATAGGATGGAAGCAACCAGATGTGCAGGCCACTTATGCTCATCTTGCCTGCTGGGATGCTCCCCTTACTGACTGCCCTCTCTGGGCAGCTTAGAGGTGAGGGCTGAGAGCCTGCTGCAAAACAGGCACCTTGCAGGCAGGTGAGGCTTAGTCCCTGCCAGGCCCCTTCTACCCCCAAGCCAGGCCACCTAAAGAGGGCAGCAATGTGGCTTCCTGAAGAATGGTGAGAGCTAAACCCACAAACACAAAAGGGCAGGGGCATGTGGGCTGGTCGGGGGCTCTCCATGATTGCCCCTAGGTCAGAAGTTGCTGTGGTTCTCCTCTGAGGGTTGTGCTTCCTGCTGCCTCATGGCCTCCAGGAAGGCCAGCTCCTTGGCTTCTTTCTTCTGGTTTCTTGCCTCGTACTCTAACCTGGGGGCCAAGCTAGAGTAAGCTGAATAGGGCGTCTGTACTGCAGCTCCACACCTACCCACCCCCATTCCACCTGGGTTTTTTTATTTTTTTGAGACAGAGTCTCACTTTGTCACTCTCACTAGAGTGCTATGGGGTCACAGCTCACAGCAACCTCAAACTCTTGGGCTCAAGTGATTCTCTTGCCTTAAGCCTCCTGAGTAGCTGGGACTATAGTCGCCCACCACAATGCCCGGCTATTTTTTAGAGATAGGGTCTTGCTCAGGCTGGTCTTGAACCTGTGAGCTCAAGCAAATTATCTGCCTCAGTCTCCCAGAATGCTGGAATTACAGGCATGAGCCACCACACCTGGCCTTTTGTTTGATTTTTTGTGACTGTCTCACTCTGTCACCCAGGTTAAAGTGCCATGGTGTTGTATCTCACAGCTACCTCAAACTCCTGGGCTTAAGCGATCCCTAACCTCAGCCTTCTAATAGCTGGGTCTATGGGCGCCTACCACTATGCTGGATCAGTTTTTTTTTTTTTTTTTTTTTTTTTAGGTAGAGATGGGGTCTCACTCTTATGCAGGCAGAGGCAGGAGCCAGTCGCCTAGCCTCACCTGTTCTTGATAATCCTCTGGACAATGAGATCTGTGGTGAGGTCGTTGCCACTGTCTATCTGATGGAAGATGCCTCTTTTCTTGGGCTCCTGAGAGGAGAGAGATGAGGTGTCTTGTGACTTTACAGAAACCTGCCCTGCTGCCCCACCCCAGAGGGAATCCATCTAGGGGTCTACAGGTGCAATAACTCCTGCCTTCTCACCCACTATGTAGTCAGAACAGCAGTGGTCACTGCACCCACTTCCAAGGCAGGCTGGGAAGTACCGATGGCAACTCCAACCAGCTGGGGTCAGCACAACCTACCTGATATGGATCAGAGCCATCCCTGTCAGGCACAATTTCTGTCTTTCCATGACATACCAGGTCCACCTGCAGAAGGAGTGGGGGCGAGGGGTCAGGTGCCCTCCCAGGGAGGCAGTTGTACCCACTATTCACAGCCCAGTGTTGCTCTCACCTCAGCCCAGGCTCCTCCAAGGGCCCCACCTGGGAGTCTGCCGCAGTGCCACATGCCCAGCCACGCCCAGCCTTACCTTGAAATGGCTCAGGAGCTCTGCTGTGACTGCATATGGGGCCCCGATCACCACTTCAGACACATACTGTGGGGACAGTGAGCACAGTGTCTTGCTTGGTACCGGCTCCTAACAAGCCAGGGCCAGAGGTGGTAGGAGACAGCCCCAGACACGGGGCTGAGGCCTTCAAGGAGTAAACAGGGATAAGAGCAGAATGTCGGGGCTGCCAGGCTCCCTGGCAAGGCCCAACCACACCTCTTCCTGACTGATCAAACCAGGGTGGGTGTGTGCCCCAGAACCAGTGCTACCAGGCAAGGCTAGGGGGTGTCACTGAGGAGCGGTCCCCCAACTCCTGGGCTGGCTATGGGCACTCACCCGGCAGGCCAGCACACTCAGGGTCCTTTCATGCAGGTTCATGATGGGATAGTTCTTCCCCTTGTAGCGATTTACCTCCTAGGGCAGGGGGAGGGAGTTCAGCCCAGGGACCTTTGGTAAGCAGCGTGCATTCCCTCCTGGTAAGTCAGGGAAGGAGCTCACACTCATGGGGATGTCCTGAGCAGGACAGCCCTAGATCCCAGAAGCCCAAGCTCTTGCCCTGGGGTCTCTTTGGTCTTCATCAGGTTTCTGGAGCCTCATTCCTCCAGAGACCACCCGTGCCCAACACCAACCCCAGAAGCCCCTGTAGTATGCCTCTATACCCTCCTAGCTGCCTAGGGCACCAGGGAAAGGAGCAGGCACTAGGCAGTTACCTGGTCAAAGTGCAAGCCAGCAATGACGTAGGGCCTGTCCGCCAGCCCATGCACCTTCTCCAGGAAGTCCACATGCCCAATGTCTGCACCCAGGTTAAGAAGCAATGTTGAGACCTAGGCAGGGGGCAGAGCCTGTGGCACCTGGGGGCTCTGGCTTCCAAGACAGCTTACACGCATCAGCCTCTCCACTGTGCTCCCTGCCAATGGCTGCTTCTCTGTACCCCAGCCCAATGAGGGGGCCCCAAGGAGCCCCAGGCTCTACCCCACGTGGCGTGGGTGTACAGCAGCAGAGGCCAGAGGATACGAAACAGGTCAAAGGCGCCGGCCACATAGATGACCGTCTCCCCTGGCTGAGGCTCCTTCCCAGAAGCAAACTGAATGATCTTCTGCGACGTCTGCAGAAACTGGGATACCCCTGTCCAGGGGTTCCGCCCCCCAGGGCACTGTAAGCCAAGAGAGCAGATGGTCATTGAGGAGGCCTCCCAGGCCCTCTCTCACCCAGCCCTGCCCCAGGGCTGCTCTTCTGAGCCTGTCTACTTGCTCTGGAATGTGCAGATGTGGGACTGTGGAAACCTCTGCAGGGGCACTACAAACACCCAGCCAGAGCCTGCCAGCAACCCAGTGGCCCTTGCCATTCCAGGAAGAGTCATAGGACACGTTACTATCAGGCGAGGCAGTGGGCAGGACTATGGCATCACCCTGTTGCCACAGCAGGCATCACAGCTAACATGACCCCAGGCTGGCGGAGGACCACTGAGAGCAGGTATGAGCCCTGTGGCTGGGGGACATAGCCCTTGGGGGGCACTCAGCACTCTGAGGCCGCCAACTGGTCACCTGGGAGAAGCCTCAAGTATGTCCCTGGCAAGTGTCAGATAAGGAGGCTACAAAGGGACAAAAGGCAAGGCTGCTTGGTTAGAGGTCACCTGTCCATGGGCAGTCCTTGTTCTGCCTCCAAGCAGTGGCTGCCATGGCTGGCCAGCCAAAGCTACCTCTTGCCTGCCCCTCCTTCTGGCTTACACAGGTTGGCCGAGCCTGGCTGTCAGTACCCAGTCATCACCAGTGATACTATGGGCTGACTTTTCCCAACAGGTGGCCAGGGCAGCTGGGGAAGAGGGCCTGATAGTAGCCTGGCATCAGCTGTATACCTAGGGGTGCGTAGCACAGGCCACACTCACCTTGCCAAAATTGTCTGCGTACTCCCGGTACTCAGAGGTCAGCTCCTGCACAGAAGACAGACCAGAGCTGAAAGGCTCTCCAGATGCAGCCAAGCCAAGGAGTAGGCAGGGGAAGGGAGGGAGGCAGGATGGCTGTGAGGGGCAGACAGGTGCTCCCTCCTTGCCCATAGTACCCTTGCCACCAACTCACCTGGCTACTGTGGTGAGCCTTGGTCACTAGCAGCATGCGGCCCACCAGGTCTGTGGTAGACACACCCTGTGTGCGCTTGCACTCTCTGGGGGATAGAAGGGGACTTGGACTGGGACATACCCACGAGGCTCAGCCTCCAACTACCATCACCTAGGGGACAGTGGCTGCCCTGCTTGTGGCCACAACAGAAAATCTGGACCAGGTCCTGAGAAGGCTGCTGTGGCTTCAATGGCTGAAGGACCGATAGGAGAACAGAAAGCCCCCAGGTTTGCAGTGTGGGGGTGGGCAGGCCAGGCTGGGTGGTGGCTCTGGTCCCCATTCTGCCTTCTGCCCCCAGCTGCACTTGAGCCCAGGTCCTGCTCTGCTGTGCTTCTCTGCCAAGGGCACTCTTGGCCACAGCACCCCATGAAGGAGCACTGGCCATCTGGTTCATCAGTTAAAGTTAATTAAGGAAAGGGCCAGGTCCTCATGGCACCAACCACATTCCCAGTGCTCAAGAGTTGCTCAGGGCTACCTCGCAGTGCTACTCCAGAGCTGTTGGTAGGGGCTCACATCATGACAGGTACCTCCCTCCATCCAATTCCCAGCCCTGCCCATGAGATATACCAGCCCCGGCTTGGCGCCTGTGGCTCAAGTGGCTAAGGCGCCAGTCACATACACCTAAGGTGGTGGGTTCAAATCCAGCCTGGGCCCATCAAACAACAATGACGGCTGCAACCAAAAAAAAATAGCCAGGCGTGTGGCAGGCGCCTGTAGACCCAGCTACTTGGGAGGCTGAGGCAGGAGATTCACTTGAGCCCAGGAGTTGGAGGTTGCTGTGAGCTGTGATGCCACAGCACTCTACCCAGGGGGACAGCTCAAGGCTCTGTCTCAAAAAAAAAAGAGAAACACCAGTCCCAAGCCCTAACCTCATGGGCCACTGGGAACCAGCAAAGAAAGCTGGGAAGGAATCTAAGCCCTACACTTGAACACCAGGGCACAGTGGGGACTCACCTGTACCTCCCAGCCTGCTTCACTTCCTCATAGGTGTCCCGGCCATCTACAGTTAGGGTGATATCATCTAAGGGGTGATACACACAAGAACATGGATTCTTAACCCAAGCAACAAATACCTCGGTGCACCCAAGCATGTGTATGGCTATCTCTGGGGAGGGACCAAAGGGCTCAGAGGCCCTGTCTCTGGATGCCCCACCTGGGAGTCTGATCCCAGGCCCACATGGCTTCCCCAGGCTCCCAAGCCCCAGCTCCTGCCCACTCACTGCCATGAACACAGAAGTTGCAGTTGTACTTGTCCAACGTCTCCAGCGTGGTGACATAGGGAGCTGCGGGCACCACCTCGTCTACCCACTTGATGGCCTGCACCATCTTATACCTCTCCTCCTGAGTGAACACTGGGGGCCCCTTGTGCTTGGAAATCTCCTCTAGGGCCAAAGAGAAGGAAGAGAAAAGATGGTGACACTGGCTCACCCAGGCTCTTCCACAGATGCCCTATTCTCAGCACCAAGCTGTGACCAACATGAGAGCCTGTAGTGGGCAGCGTGGCTCTCACAGGCCCTGGGCTCCCTGTTCTCCCTCATCCAAAGCCAGGGGCTCCTTCTGATGAGCGGCGCTTTGCTCCTGAGGCCTTGGGAGCCAGGTTAGGAACCGTGAGGAGTGGGAGGCACAATTCATAGACTCCACTGGCCCCTTTCTCTTCACCTCGGGACAGGAGGTGCAAGACAGGAAAGGCTTCCTCAGGCCGTCTTTGGCTGCGGCTGAGCCTGCTCTGTCTATTCCCAGGGTTCTCAGGCTTTTGGTCAACAGGTGTGGCCCCCAGGTGGGCTGTGAAGCAGTGGGTGGGAAAGGTGTCTCCACATCTTACCATCAGTGTGCACACCCACGATGAGATAGTCGCCCATGGCCCGTGCCTGGCGCAGCTGGTTGGAGTGGCCATAATGCACCATGTCATAGCTATGGAGACAGACAAACAGTTGCTCTGTCTACTGTGGATGGAGACCAGACTGCGTGTGTGTGGCTGCGGGGATGCAGCTTTGCTCCTCTGAGGTCTCCTTAGGAAGCCCCCAGAGAAGCTGCCACTGGGAACTGTTTCCCAGAATTCAGCTGGGCTTCCAGAAAAGCGGCAGGTTGTCAGCTCTCCATGTCACCGGTTCCTGGGCCAGAGGGTAGGAACTTGCCAGTGTCAGATCTAGCAAGGGTGGAAGGCCCAGGGGGATGGCAGGTGTACAGAACAGCCTCTGCCCTCACATCTCCCCTCAGAAAATACAAACTGCTGGGGGTAGAGTCACTTCAAACTTTCAAGTTCATTCTAGGGGCAAGGTTGGAGTCTGCACTACTCTGAGGCAAGCAGACAGTCCCTGGTGCCAACATGAAACAAATCTAAACAAAGAACAAGGGCCTGAAATAACTGACTTCTGAAAATCCTGTTTCCTAGTCCCTCGTGGCCTCCGAAACTCAACAAAGCTTAATCTCTCTAGTGAATAACCACTTCCATGTCACCTGGTTCTAAGACTTTTATCCTCAAATCCTGTCTGGCAAACTTCCAAGCCCAAGGCTACACGGGCCGCCTCCCTGAGGACCAGGCCCTCTTTCTGCTTCTGTGAGTAAATAAAGCCATACCTGCTTCTCCAGGGTGTAAGGGACTCAGGTGACCTTGGGCAGCCCCACATGTTCTACTCAATGGCCCCTGCCTCCTCCCCAAACGGCCACATAACCCCCACACACTGTACCTGGGGCCCCAGTCTGACCGCCCCAAGTGAGGAGGTGTCAGAGGCCTGAACAGAGGGACCAAAGCATGGAATGAAGGAGGCGCTGAGTCCAGTCACTGTAGCCTAGGGTGGGGGCCTGGCTAGGGCCAAGGTCAGAGTCCACTGACACGAAGCTGCATTGCTCCTCTCAGAGGTGACTGAGGCTAACCATGTAGAGGTTCGTCTCTCTCCACCCACCCAGCAAAGGCTTGTGAAAGCAAAGGTAGCAAGCTACCAGTAACAGTCAATCTTCCTTCTACTTATTGAAAGCCATAAACTTGTCTTAAAACATGCCCTGCCTGAGAGACCGACCGCACGCCAGCCCCTCCAAGCCGGCAGAGCCGGGCGCGCGACGCTACCCAAGGAGCGGGCCAGTCCCTGGGCAACCGCCGGCGCAGGCCCGGCAGGAAACAGCCCCAGCGTCCCGCCTGTGCTCACCAGCCGTCGCACCACACCCGCACAGGGCGCCTGCCCCCCGGGCCCGGCTGCTCGACGCCACCCGCCGCCCCGCGCCCGTTCCGGATCATGGCCACGAAGCGGCGGCACGGCCAGTCGGCAGTTCCAGGTGACTACGAGAGCCCGACTGCCGCCCCGCCCCGCGCACGCGCCGCCGGCGTCACGCGGGCCTCACCAGCTGCACACGGCCAATGGAGCACAGCCTCCCTCCGAAGTCCCGCCCACTCCCGCGAAGACTCCACCCATCCCCGCCGCGCGCTGCCAACGGCGCGCCGCCTTGCCATAGCCCCGCCCCCCTCAAGGGGCCAATGGCGTGCAGCCCTAACCCCGCCCCCTGCTCAGATTCAGCGCCCGAAGCTTCTGAGCGCCTTCGCCAGGTCCCGCCCCCTACCCGGACCCCGCCCCTTGTCCACGCCTGACGGCAAAGGGCGGGACAGCACCGAAGTGGGTGGGTCTGTGGCAGCCGCCTCAATGGGCCTTGGGAGAACTTGTTGCCTGTCCAGCCGGGAACCCGCGCCCAGCGACCCCGCCCACCGGAGTGAGCCAAGCAGTGACATGCGTGGACGGTACAGAGATGTTTAATAGGAATAAAAAGGTCTGCTTAAAGCACCCCTCTGCTGCATACCCAGTACAGAAAAGGTCGTCTACAAAGTTAATAGTTTTTAGTAAGAAGTAGCAGAAATAGGGTGATGCCCTGAGACTAGCCTGGCCAGTGGGGGTAAGGCAGTCATTCATGACTTCCTCTCTGCAGGCCAGGTCCAAAATAACCCGAGCTCCGCCCTCCTTTTATGCAGAGGCCCATGGGCAAGTGTCCTGGATGATGAAGCCGAATCAGGGACAACCACAGCAGTGCAAGGATAGACGGCTACATATCATGGTGAAAATGTCACCCCCAAAGAGATCTTCTTGCTGGCAACCAAGCCTGCATGGCAACACTGGCCCCTGAATAAGAGTTCCGTCCATCTGCAAAGTGCCAAATGTTTCTGTCAAACACCAGGTTACGTCACTTTCTTCCTTTTTGTGCGTTTGGTGCAGCCCCGGCCAAACCAGCCCCCTAGGATGGGAGCTGAGCTGAGTGGGTCACCACAGTCACCAGGCGGTCCTTCCTCTCTGCTTCTGCATAGCGATTTCCGACTGTGGATGCCTTCTTCACCAGCACGCAGGGGAGTTGCCAGGGAGAAAATGGGATCCTGCCACCTACCAAGAAGAGAAAAGTGGGTCAGATAAACCTGGGTGCCTCTTGCCGTCACAACCCACCCCAGCATGGGAAAGCTGTCTGAGGTTCCTTGCCTTCCCACCTCACCCTCCCATGTCTTAACCTTGGCTGGGTTCTGGTTGGCCACTCCATTGTTACCAAGCTACGGAACAGCTGCAGGAGAGGTCATCTCCTTGGGTGGTAACTCAAAGGTCAGCACCCTCACCAGCTTGGTCTCCTCAAACTCAGAGTCCTGGTCCACCACTGAGTGGCCATACACAAATAGGGTGGGGCAGCAGTGGCTCCAGGGGCACTGCCATCTCCAGGGATGAGTCCCTAATAACTCTGGGCCCCACCTTTCACTTGTACCACCGGGGGGCAGGTGGATCAGACCCTCTCCCCCTTCCCAGCTGACTAGGGAGGCTTGGCCTACAGACAACACTGTGAAGAAATCATGTGTCTGAGATGTAGAACCACATATTATAAACTTAACATACAGATAAGCACTGATAAAGAAAATGAACTAAGTTAATGCAAAAAAAAAAAATACAGTACACAATAGGCCCACATTACAGAACACCACAAACATAACATACAAGAATTGCCAGGCCCAGAAGGTGAAGGGATCCTTAATTTCTTGAACCCTTTGATTAAAAGAAGTTATTGATTTCCCCTATAAGACCCTGAAAATTCACAGAGAAAGAGAGTGTAAACTTTTTACTCAATACATACACCAAGTCTAATTATCACAAATTCTGTATCAAGGCACAGTTTAAGCTTCCCCCAAAATATGCCAATGCCCAAAACCAAGTACACTGTGATTCTGTCTGACCGAACCTGCTAGTCCTCTCAAGGCACCTTCCCACCAGGCTTCTCTGAAAGGTCAGTGGGGAAACAGAACCCCTCTCCCCACGGGGCTTCTGCAAGTCACACTGGCCTGGGCAGTAGTGCACATGGAGTCTCGCCTCAGCCAGCCACTGAGGTCAGTCCCTCTGGAGACCATCACTTTTCAGCCACACCTCAGAGCTTCCTTCACACTCAGCTCACAAGAGAAGACAGACAAGGCCCACCACACAGAGGTGTGAGGAAGCAGGTGGTGTGCTGGGCCCACTCACCTGCTGTAGAGGGGGATCTCCAGGCCCAGCTCATCCATGAGGAGCTGCATGACGTCATCACATTTCCCGTGAAGCTTCAGGGCAGCCCAGTCATCCTTTGGGGTCCACTGGGGACAAGGAAAAGTGAGTGACAGTAACACCTGGTCAGCACCTCTGTCTCAGGCCTCTGCAGTAGATGAATGTGGAGGTCTCCCTGGCTCTTCCTGCTAAGGCCCAGATCTAAGAACACAGCTCTGAGCACCCGAGTTACCTGCAAGTTCACAATGTAGAGTTTAGGCCGCTGGCTCGGGGGTTTGGTCATGCACCAGAGGCGCGGATACTTCTTTAGAACCTGTGGAAATGGACAGATACAGCACACACACAGAGCACAGCTGTAGCAGGCTGAGTCTGACACTGAGCCAGAGAGCTCTGGGCAGGCAGACACCTGCTCACTCTGCTCACTCACCATGTTATCAGTGCGTACCTTCAAGCTGGACCCTAAACACAGGATTGTGTCTGCTTTGCTGGCAGCCTCGGTTGCTGCCTCCCAGTTCAGAGGCTGCCCCAACATCCCCCTCTCCCCAAAGTGCACAATGGTGTCCCGGAGCTGGCTCCCACACTTATGGCAGGCCCGGCCTGTCTGGTGTCTGTGGAGGGCAGTACGCTCTGTGACATCAAATACTCGAACGTACTCCCTGTTAGGGACACAGGAGGTGCAGACCTGAGGGCAAGAAAGCACAGTGAGTGGACCTGCCTGCCCACCAAGCCCTGGATCCCCACAGGACTGCTCACTTCAATGTACATGTTCCCATGGAGCTCTGAGATGGCTGTTCGCGGCAGGCCACTTCTCAGGTGGAGCCCATCACAGTTCTGAGACACCACGTGCTGCACCTGGGAGGTAGGACAGGGGCTCTGTCAGCAGGAGGGGTCAAGACAGCCATGAAGCCACTCGGAGCTTAGCCCAGCTGACGGCTTCCAAGATTAGGGCTCCACAGAAAGCCCCAGAAGGTAAAGCACACATGGGAGGGGCCGTGTCCTCCCCTCAGCCCTGTTCTAGCCTTGCAACACTAGGCAGTGGTGGCTCAGGGTTCTGGTGAAGGCCACTTCTGCTCCAGACTCACGGTCCCTAAGGCCTAGCCAGGTCTCCCTTCCCACTTAGTTGAAGGTGTTCAGCAAAGGGTCTCCAGAGATTTCCTACCAGACCCCCTGCCCTCCCCTGTGGCTCCTAAGGTCTAAGAGGGCAAAGGCCACCAGCAGCTCTGGGCCCAAGGCTGGCCCGAGGCACAGTGGTTTGGAGGAAAGGCCACCCTTTTATCCTGAGAGGATGCATGGGATGACTCAACCAGAAGTGCAGCCCACTTAGTGCTCATCCCAGGAGTCAACCACCAGGCAGAGGGAGGACACAGTCACCCACTTGGGCACCAAAGTGGAGCTCCAGGCCCTGTGCCCAGACCCAGATGAGCACACCAGCCACAATGGGCTCTTACCAGCTTCTGCTCATGCAAACGGGCAATGCACATGTGTGTGAGGGTCGGCTCAGCCTCGCTCAGGTCAGCAGTACTACAGGTGGGAAGGAGTGTGAGGGTGAGGACAGCTGCACGCTCAAGCCTGTGCCACCCCTCCTCCTCCTGCTCCTGAAGGCTGAGCTTGGCCCGCTCACCTGACACTTCTCCCTTTCTGAAGCAGTGTCCAGACGCCATTAGGGCCCCGGTAATCTGGGATAGAAGCTGCCTGCATGTTCAGAAAACAGATAAGCCAAGTAAAAAGGCATCACTGTAGGTAGAGGCTGAATTCCCAAAAACAGAGAGTCAACGTTTCTCCCCCACATTCCAGGCTGGCTTACAGACCAGCCTCTATTCATTCCCAGGCTGAGCTGCCTGTCCCCAGATGGCATGTACCCAGCATGGCTCCTTCATCTGCTGGGACTTACCCTTCCTTCTTGGCCCAGTCATCCCTCCAGGCTGAGTAAAGCCCTGCCCTGCTCCAGTAGTCTCTTTAACCACTGAGCAGAGCCAGTGGACTCTGTGGCCACATGTGTCCCCTACACTTGGGGGGGTGGGCTGGTCAGGTCCATTCATGTCCCCAGGGCCTGGCCCACTGCTCCAACATTTAGGAAAGGGTAAACCTTTAGGTTGGAGCACTTTTATTTTGTTGTTGTTGTTTTTGTTGGGGTTTTTGCAGTTTTTGGCCAGGGTTGCGTTTGAACCCGCCACCTTCAGCATATGGGGCTAGCGCCTTACTCCTTTGAGCCACAGGTGCCACCCAGGTTGGAGCACTTTTTTGTCCAAATTCTTCCATCATGATGCTCTGAGTAGTTCCCACTCAACCTTAATAAAGGTAAGAAAACTTCTCTGGATGAAACAAACATCTCATTTCCCAAGTTTCTCATCCAGTGAAACTCTCTTCTTTCCCAAGAGAAAAAAGAGAAGGGAAAAAAAAAAAACAGAAGGCATGCCACGATCAGAATTTTTTTTTTTTTTTTTTTGAGACAGAGCCTCAAGCTGTCCCCCTGGGCAGAGTGCCGTGGCATTACAGCTCACAGCAACCTCCCTCCAACTCCTGGCTCAAGCGAGTCTCCTGCCTCAGCCTCCCAAGTAGCTGGGACCACAGGCGACCGCCACAACGCCCAGCTATTTTTTGGTTGCAGCCGTCACTGTTGGCGGTCCGGGCTGGGGATTCGAACCCGCCACCTTGGGTGTACGTGGCTGGCGCCTTAGCCGGTTGAGCTATAGGCGCCAAGCCAGGATCAGAATGTTTTATGTTCCTTTCTGGGGAAGTCATATCCCTTCACTGCTGCTTAAACTCAGAAAAATGCCCACCCTGATCAGTGGTTCTAGCTGTCACATTTATTTTTATTTTTTGTTTTTGTTTTGTTTCTTTTCTGAGACAGAGCCTCAAGCTGT